GGCCTGCGTGTCGCTCGACACACCACCTCGGTGTCGCGCGACACATATGACCCCGTGTCGATCGACACGAAGCAATCCTGTCGATCGACAGGACACCTTCTGTTCGATGGAGATCGCCTATCCTCTCATGGCCGAATCTCCATGAACCTTAATCGATCACCTGCACAATCAACCACTCAAAGCACCAAATTCAAACAGCAAACAATCGCATCATACACAATCCTATATCCGAGAGCCTATGGTCGCGCACTCACCTTTGCAAACGGATTGAATGAAGACTAAGGAACCCGACACAAACAGAGAAGAATATCTCGCGACTCCCTCCACTAAAACCAAGTCTGAGACCTGTTCTGGAAACTAGACACTGAGAGCTTTCCAACGGTGTATAGAACGTCCCCTAACTCCTACAGGATCGACGGAAAAACAGCCCGCAATCTCGCTATTCGAAACTGGCAAAAACAGAAATTCAGAACCGACACCCTGAAAACAAACGAATACAGAGAACGGAGTTTACCTCCGAATCAGGATCCGAAACCTGATCTAAAAACTACACAGAGAGAGCTTTCCAACGGTATCTGAATCGTCTCCTGATTCTCTCTGGTCCGACGGGAAACCTCCCTCGAAGTGGACTGATCGCAGACTCGAGACTGCAGAACCCTCACACAAACAAATGGCCATAACTCAGCGAAAACTCAACCAAAACACACGCGGTTTTCGCCTACGGCAAGAGGAAAGAAAGGAGAACTTACCCCCAAAGTTTCCCACCGATCCGTTCTGATCTTCCCAGCCGTCTGCCTCCTCCAAAACCGACGAAATCTTCTCAACACTCAAGAGGAAAACCCTAGTTCTCTCAACTCTCTCTTTTCTCTGATTCTAAACAAAAGGATGCGGCTAAACCTAGGAGGAAACGCCTTCTCCAAGTATATATAAGTCCCCCAAACCGGCCCAACTCAAAACAAACCGGAAATCAAACATCTTTGAATGATTTAAACCCGTGTCGATCGACAGACTTC